CTTTGGCGACCTAACAATTTGTTGGTCCTGAACAAGTTTTTATTTCTCTTCCTCGACCACTACTTTCTTTATATCAGTTTATCTAGACTAGCAGTGAAAACTATTGCTACCATCAACACACAAAATTTGTGTGTGATTTGAACCGAGAGGAAACGTGTATACCTTCAAGTATATACGCATGTAACTTTCTTATTTGTGCTGGCACCTTTACCTCCCGCTTTGTTCTATAAATAAAGTTTCTGAGAAGGGTAGTTTTACCGGATACTTTTTCTTGGTCGCGTTTTCACCATTAAGTAATTGCAGAAAATACGTTTTGAGACCTTCATATCTACTTTATAGTTGTTAATGTGTTGTCTATCGTTAATGAAGCTGCGTTTGATAACAGTTCTTTCATATCACAAGTAGCTATAAATATCAAACTGAATCTTTGTCATAAACTTTAATTACTTTACATGTTTTCTCAAACACGCACAAATTACATTTAAAATTGAGTCAATGTACACCTCAACAGAAACTCGACTCCTGCTTTATGATAGTAAGAATGTGTTTGAAATATCTTTATGTTGAAACTCGATATTCTTTCAGAAATGAGTAAAACAAATACATGTGAAAGCAACTGATTTTTACCAAATTGGTACTTGGAGAACAGGAATCTCATTAATGTCGTATCAAAAGTATGTCAGTGGATTTTCAAACATTAGCTGGGCCGTCACTTGAGCTTCGGACCAAGATGGCTTAGACGCCAAGGACATTATCGATCTGCGACTATGAGGCACCATTTTAATAAATTTTCCATGGTTTCTGACGTAATTCACAAGCACGCTTTCACATCAACTCGAACTTATACTACGAGAACACGTATGTTGAAAGAAACAGGTTTTTGATAATCTATACTGCCATTAATTTTATGAATGAACCGATACACGATACTGTCTAAGAGAAAGCAATTGACTCCTCGATATTTTAATTGCAGCGTCAGAGAGAAATTATCGGTTATCGTGTGACTTGTTGATTTGTATATTACAAAACGTATTAATCTAAAGTACTAAAGCCAGCACGTGGTATTGCAAGTCTGAAGAAGACTGTCGCATACAGTCGAAACCTTGCTTGAAAAACACAAATGAATAAATAAATGTGGTATTTTTTCGTATAATTGTTTTTCCTACAATTGCTTACTATTTTATGAGTATGCAGGAATATGTACCAGACACCACCGTTGACTAGATTATAAATGAGGCATACGGCCTACTAGTTACTAGAGATACCACTGTTCACTAGATTATAGATGAGGAATAAGGTCTACTAGTTACTAGATATACCACTGTTGCCTAGATTATAGATGAGGAATAAGGTGTACGAGTTACTAGAGACACCACCGTTGACTAGATTATAGTTGAGGCATACGGCCTACTAGTTACTAGAGATACCACTGTTGACTAGATTATAGATGAGGAATAAGGTCTACTAGTTACTAGATATACCACTGTTGCCTAGATTATAGATGAGGAATAAGGTCTACTAGTTACTAGAGACACCACTATTGACTAGATTATAGATGAGGAATAAGGTCTACTAGTTACTAGATATACCACTATTGCCTAGATTATAGATGAGGAATAAGGTCTACTAGTTACTAGAGACACCACTATTGCCTA